AATTTTGCCTTCAAACAGAATTCAGTTACAAAGAACTTGGAAAGATTTTGAATCTATTCAAGAGAGGAAAACTCTTTAATTTTCTGAGGAGTAAAAACTCCCCAAGAAACTTCATATAGCGTCTTAGATTTTGCTTAGCATACGTGATAAAACATTGATTGTTGCAGTTTGGTGACCCATGAAATTTGGGGGTTAGTTTTCTCTTCAGACCAGAGCATATAATTATGCAAATAAAGAGCTGTCACTGATCTAGTGAAATACTCACAAACACATGCACTCTGAAATTGGACAGAAAAGTGAAAATGGTTGGTGATGTGATGGTGCCATGGTTTGTTTTCCTGCCAAGTTTCTATCCAAGTTCATTATTCAAATTGTAAACTTTAAAAAGAGACATATCTCATTCTTGGGGTGGTGGTTGTCTTTTCATTTCAGATTCTTTGTATTGGTACTGCAGGCTGGCTACAAAGTACAGTTCAACATTATTTTACCTATGACAGTCTCCCACATTACCCGACGTAATAGCCAAGGAAGAAAAAACTGAATGATCTGGAAAGAAAGATGCAGGACCTCTCTAGATTTCTTTCTAGAAATATGTTTCATGCCTGTTTCAAATAGAACTCAATTCCAACAACACAAAGAATATACTGAAAGGGCTTGCACAAATCTCAGGGCAGAGGATGGGGAAAAGTTGCCTGGAAGGCCTCATGGATTAGGTCAAATTTCCATTTTCAAGCTTTTTATATTCAAGGGGAAAATACTGGTCACTGCGTGATATCCACTTAATGGTCAAACTTTCAGGATGGTTTTCTCCTATCTAGCAATTAAAGCCTACTGTATAATATTTGGTGACTTTAACCTTTATGGTTCATTTACAATTACTACTCCTCTAAAACCTTTGTGCTAAGAATTAACAAGAGTTCTTCCATCTAACCATGCTCTTTGGCATCGAGGTCTCCCAATTCCAAAGTTACCATTGCACAGGCTGTTGCATAATTTTAGATGTCATGGAGAGTCCCACTGATGAAATCTGAGAAGGCTCATGTCAGACCACTGACTGCTAAACACATCACTACATGAAAGATCAGTGGTGTGAAACTTTAGAAACATCGATCCAAATGAATCAATTAAATCAACATTCATCCCTCCTAAGTGTGAGGTTTAAAACTATCATTGTTGCTTTTTTTTTTTTTTTTTACCCTACCTAGATTTCGAGATAAACGCTGGAATGCTTTGATGGCCACTTCTATTCTTGAATCTCCGTTAATCAACTTTGTGCTAATTCCCTCTTTTCAACATCTTCCACTTGGTGTATATTCTTTACTTTTAGTACAGTGCATGACAGTTGCAATGCTTTAAATCTAAAAGTGCCTAACAAAGCTGATGCTTTAGGTAGGGTAGCTTTAAGCTCTGTGAAGTGTTGATTAAAAACTCTTTCCCAGACTCAAACTGATCTTTTTGGAGATTAATAGAATATTAGATAAAAGGAAGACGAACAATTCAAGAGACTCCCACTCAGTCACTCTATACAAGGAAGGAAGGAAAGTATTCAATTTTTGAAAGGGAGTACCTCCTGGAGTCTTTTATTTTATATTATTACAGCCTCTAATAAGTAATCATAAAATAACCACCACTATTATCCTTTTTTTTGCCACCCATATTTCAAAGATGAGAATGTCTCACATTTATTTAAAGACATTTTTCTCTACAGAGTCATGGGGAAAGTTTTTGAGAAATTTTTAGACTTTCGGTAATAGTAATCTTTCTTAAATAAATCAGGATTACAGACACCAAAAGGAACCTGTCGATTTGCAGTTACAAACCATGATTATAGCAGGAGATACACATGTGTTTGGATTGGAACTCCAGATAATCCAGAGAAACATGAAAAAAATCTAACTTATTAGCACTGATAATATAGTTCCCATATTTTGTCACCCACACTCTCTCAAAGGAGTTATGGGTTTTAAAGAAGGAAAAGCTGTAAAATAAATGTAAACAAGATATTTTCAGATTAGATTTAACACCAAGGACCTATCCAGGGATGTGGGAGCAATTTAATCTCACCAGACTCCTTTTGGAAAACACGTTTCTTTACGACATATTAAAGTGTATTTTATAAAACAGTAGTTTAACAACGGGTCCAAATTTCCTGTAGCTAAGGAGATATTTTAGATATTAAAAACAAATGTCTTAAAAAATGTTAGCTTTGTGAAAGGTCCAAGGCAAATAGTGACTCAACTGAAGGCAGGATATTACCTTACAGCAACAACAACAGTAATTACAAGCAGCTATAAGATTTAGAATATCGATGAAGCCTGTCCCATCATTCTTTTCACGTTTCTGCTTTTATTAACCTCCATTCATGAATAAATGAACTTCTGAGCAAGAATAATACGCCACTGCTCGTTGGGAAAACTGTTTTTATTTTAAAATGATAAACAGAAATATATAATATATAGGAAAGTCCTGTGCTTTACTTTTTTGGGTATAAACAATAATGCAATCCAGGTCGAAGCACAAGGCAGAAAGTTGAGAAAAGAACAATTGTTACAAGTAGATTTCCCCCCTTCAACCATCCACGAAAACTTTTCCCGGCTGCATGGTTAGGTACCTTCAGAAAGCCTCATAGCTATTAACTGGCTTTTAAATTTTAACAGGACTATTTTGAATCTTAGATTTATCAACAACTCCTTGCTTTCCATTCCACTTGCTCTAAGAACTGAGTATATAATTTTTTTTAAAAAAGCTCACATCCTAACTTGAAACCTCTACTTTGCGAAAAACCTGTCTAAAGAAACCAAAATGGGGAGGAGATGGTCAGAGCAGAAAGATCGCAAACACTTGACTCCTCCAAGTAGGAGGCCACTACCAACTGATGGTTGTTACTCCGGGAAAATTGAGGTGAATGATATTATTAAATTTATACCAACAGACTCGTAAGCAACAGGTTAAAAAAATCCTACAGTACGAGGAATCTTATCAGTTCTCAGCTGGAGGTCTGGGATGGCTTGCCAGGCTCTCTCCGGGTTGCTACAGCTCAGATCCACAAGTAGAAATTACATTTACACAACTTAAGTTTGCAAATAGCTCTTCATAGATAGTTAAACAAGGCCTAACAACCCAAAAGTTTTAAAGTATTAAAGGCAATTAAACAGTGATTTACTGTAGTTACAAGTGAAGACTTTTAGAGATGTGAGAAAATTGAAGGAATAGGAGTGATTTGTTTTATAAGCTGAGCATATTTACTTTGCTCTAATTCAGCTGCAGAAGCTTCACGAATTTAGCATTACAGAAGTGCTGATTAAAAAAAATGCAATAGAATCAGTTTCCTGTGAACATTTCATATACTGAAAACATACGATTTATAACACTTTGAAATATATATTCAATCCACATCAATTCTCAAATCCTCTCAATGGAAAGTACCATTACTTTACACAGTTAAACCATCACTTCTAAAATACAAAAAACTGTAGACCACTGTGCTTGACATTATACATTTTAAGCCATCCAGGAGCTGGATGAAATGACATTTTGATTTTTCCTCCTGTGTTGTTTCTGCTAAAATAACATAAAAAGATATGCATATACGACCACTGACAAAAGATCACTTTAATTTGCCATCATTAAAACTATAAGAACTAATTAATGTACTACTATACCAAACACAGATATTATCCATTTTAAAACTTGCTGAAATCAGTTCATAATATAAAAACACTTTATCCATGAGGTGGTTATTTTAAGTTATTTTTCTGAGGATTAAGTTCTAACTCATTTTGGGTACATTTTATCACGTCCTCAAATAAGGCAGGCATATTGTTGCATACACTTTAAAAAAGAATGAAAAAATCAGATCTTCATTTATTAGAAACAGAATCTTCACTAGGTAATTAAATTCTTCAAGTAATTAAAAATTGATAATGTTAAGATTTAATATTTGAATTTAAAAGTCAGCAAAATCTTAACTTATTTTACCTCATATTTCACAGTGTTGGCCAGATCTCAGCTGAATTAAAATACTTAATTGTTGAAACTGTAGGGCAAAACCCTACAGAGAAAGTGGACTACTGAAAATTATTACACTGGATTGAGAGGAGAAAATCTTTCACATCAGGTCTTTCTCTTTCTGCTGCAACAGAAAACTAAAAGAATCATTTTAGCCCCAGTTAGTCTTTCAGAAGGAAAAGGCTTAAGGGTACACAGGTTCATTTTCCTGAAGACAATAAAAAAATCCATCCCTAAAAAGGTCTAACTCCACGAAAGCTCAGAATAGATCATTCTAGTCAGGATTAACCACAACAAACTTTCTCCACATTAAGATTTAAAAAGCAAAACTTAAGTATGCCATCTAAATTACAATGCCACTCAATACACATTATATATTTAAAAACTAAAATCAATTCTAATGATAAAGTTGGAAATTCCATTGAAAATAGGACCTTTCACATATACAGTTAAAAGTTTTGCTCATTATTGTGTTTTAAACAATCTCTTCTGAAATTAGAGGTGTGTAAAATCTCATATTCAACTGGCAAGGATTTTCAGCAGTAATGCGGCTTCGGTACTTTATAGATTTTTATGCAAACTTTTTCTTCTGGTCTCGAAATGAAAATAGATCGTTAGGGAGAGAACAATTTGCACTCCCAAAACTACATAGTACATCATGGCATTCATGTTCTGTATTTAAATTTGGCTTTTGGAGGGGTGGGGGGCTTCCTTAAAAAAGGAGGGGGGCATAAGACGCCCTCAGGGAAAAGTTTACTTAAAACGGAAGTCTGGAGTCTAGGATAAAAATTTGCTTCTGTTCGGAGACAAAAAAATGGACATGATGGAGGGACGGAGGACGGCGGGGTGGGGGAGCGGCGGCCGCGCGGCAGCGGGCGGTAGGACCGCGCAGACGCCGCTCGGCCGCGCCGGCTGGGTCGGGGCACTCCGAGGCGCGCGGGCCGCGCGGGGCAGGGCGCTGTCGGCCTCCCTCTGCGCGCGGACGGGCGGCGGAGCCCGCGCTCGGCCCGCAGCAAGCACGGCCAGTGCACCCATATTGCTTTGACAGTTGCACTCATCTAGAAATAATGCAAAACGCTATTTAGATGTATATATCACGACCCTGTGCTCTGGGAAGAAAACAATCTAATGAAGGGCTGGGAGGCTGCTCGCCGGCAGCAGCCGGCAGGAGACGGGCGGGGGCGGCCCCTCCCCGGCGCCCGCTGTCGCCTCCTACGGCTCCTCGGGCTTCAGTCGGTGCGAGCGCCGCGTCCCGGCCGGCCGCAAGGAGCTGCTCTTGGCCTCCGAGGCTTCGGTGAAGAATTTGAAAATAGACTGGAAGCTCTTCCAGGACGTTAGCTCGTGACGGTCGGTGCCTGCAGAAGACACAGAGTCCGTTACCAGGGGGCCCCGCGGTGCCGGCGCGGGCGGGGCGGCGACTGCCAGGCCGGGCCGAGGCCCAGGCCGCCGTCCTCC